TCATTATTTTGTTATTTGGTTTCTTGTTGTCGTCTTTGTTATTAGGTTTGTCAGTTTGTTTAGGAATTTAACCTGGTTTTATGTCATTAAGTATGTTTAGATCTATGGGAGCATGGATGGCTATGTCAAGCTCGTTACATGGTTATCGATTGGTGTTGCTGAGGTGACCGTTTCTAAGTCTGATCATAGGGCTTACAGTCATAGTTGTTGGAGTCTAGTTGGTGTCAGATTTGTTTTTCCTTTGATTGGTGTAATGATCCTAAAACTTATGATATGAATAAAGACTAGTTATTGGATGATAAAAAAACATAGTATTGATAACTATGATGTTATAAATATATTATTTTTAATATTTAATGATTTAATTTATCACTTAAGATTGTTAATTGTTTCTTAAAATGGAAATGAGAACCTTTATATGGGACGTTCAAAGAAGGAAAGTGGGAACCTTCTAATGGGACAGAGGGAGTATATAATATAAAAAATTACCTATTATTTTATATAGCAAAACTAAGTTAAAAAATATATTAATCAATAAAAAAATTATCACTACTACTAAAATATTTAATTCATATATATACATTGACTCGGATCATCGTTGTTATTCACTACATGCATCACTACTCATTTTGAGAAAGGAAATGAGAAAAAAAGACTTTTTTAATGTATTATTACTTAATTATTTGTACTCCAATTTTATTTAAAAAAAAAAATACATCAAAATTTATAATTTTTTATGATTTTTCATAGGACACCGATATTGTATGTATAAAAAAACATTATTTTATACAATAAAATTGAGTTAAAAAATAATCATGTGTCAGTCTTGCAAGGTCACTCGGTGTATCACTGCTATTTACCGGGTGCATCAATGCTATTCATATTAATCACTCCACCTCATTTGAAGAAAGCGAAGGAAAATTTATTTTTTTAAAGTGCTATAACTTTTATATGTGTACCTCAATCTTTACAAAAATTGAATCAAAATTCATAAATCATAATGATCTTTCATATGCTATCAATATTGCATATATAAAATAAAAATATTATTGTTTTATATTATAAAACTGAGTTATAAACCAGTAATGTGTCAATTTTTATTAGTTAATAAAAGTTCTATTATCACTAATACCAAAACATTTAATTTATTCAAGTTCACTTGTGCTTTACTAGTATTTACTTGGTGCATTATTGTTATTCACTTTAATCACACCAACTTATTTGAAGAAAAGGGAGGAGAATTTTTTCTTTTGTTTTTTGTACTCCAATTTTTATAAGTAATGTATCAAAATTCATATGTTTTTATAATCTTTTTTATGACACCAATATTGCATATATATAAAAAAAATATAATAAAACTAAATTATAAATCAATGATGCATGAGTTTCTTATTGGTTAATAAAAATTCCACTATCACTACAACTAAATCATTTAATTAATTTAAGTTCACTCGATGAATCATTGTTATTCACTCGGTGCATCACTACTATTCACTCGGTGCGTCACTGCATTCATTTTAATCCAGTCAACTCATTTAGTGCATCACTCTAGATTTTACAAAAAAAAAATTATGATCTTTCATATGCCACCAGATTGCATAAAAAATATTTAGATCAAATCGGAGTGATTCAAATCATATCAAAATCTGAAAAACTCAGATAAGATCAGAAAGATTCAAATCAAATAAAAAGATTAATAACACAGGATCATACAAGATCACACAAGATCACACAAGATCACAAATTTCAGATCATAAAAAATTCAGATTAGATCAGACCATATCTTTCGAATTTCAGATCGTAAATATTCATATCAAACGAATAGAACAACTTATTAATATCCACCATATCTATAGAGAATAATTCTTGGAATAAATACCATATCAATTTAGATTTTAAAATAATTGTCCAACATCAAATTCTTTGAATAATGAGACTCTAATACATGTAAGAGAACTCTAATCATAAGAAATTAATCTTGCACATCTGAGTGAGACTATAATTCAAGACCAAGTCTTTTAAATAATGGAACTTTAGTTCACGTGAACAAGACTCTAATCGATTGTACACCACCAATAATACACGTGAATATATATTTTGGATATATCCAAAATAATGTAAAATTATAAACTCCACATATTCCCAATTTCAATTGCTGGAAACAAGCTTAACCATTACAATAATTTAACCATTACAATAAGAAGTACATAAACCACAATATAAACACAAATTCATTCTCCAAAAGATGGTGATTATGGCCAAACTTGTGATCATATCATATGAATAGTTAACAATATTTATTAGTATTTGACACCTGACACATATTAAATTAACACTGTCGGGGCATGCCCCGGGTGTTACACTAGTCATATATATTAATTCATTAACCTTGACTAAAACGCGTACAGGTATGGATATATATATATATATATATATATATATATAGAGAGAGAGAGAGAGAGAGAGAGAGAATTTGGATCAAATAAAAAAAAGTCTTAACGTGTAAAATGAGAATTAATCTCATCCGTCCAAAGTGTTGATCTGATGCACAATAACCCCTATCTGATGCACTTTCGAATAGACCTTATTTGATGCACTTTTCGAAAGTGCATCAGATAGGGGTTATTGTGTATCAGATCGACACTTTGGACGGCTGAGATTAATTCTCATTTTTCACGTTATGATGTCTTCTCATTTGAACTCATCCCTATGTGTGTGTGTACATGTATGTCTTTCCTATATACAACATACTCCCTCCGTCCCATAAAACTTGGTCAAATTATTTCTTTTTTTGGTTGACCCAAAATACTTTGTCATTTCCACTTAAAGTAAAAAATACTCCGTATGTGGTTAAAGTTATTTCTCTCTCCTCTGCACAAATTTCAACCCCACAATTTTAATTTTATTAATCAACGTGCAAGTCAACTTTGGCCAAGTTTTATGGGACAGAGGTAGGGGTGGTTCGGTACGGTATACCTTATATTTTTTCTCATACCTTTGCCATACCAAAACTTTCGGTATGCAAAATTTGCATACCTTTACCTTACCGAAGTTTCGGTATACCGCATTTCGGTATACCGAAGTTTCGGTTCGGTAACGGTACGGTATCGGTAAATTACCGTGCATGTCTCCCAATACAAAAAATTATCATTGACTAACGAAATATACTAAATCGTTATTACTATCGACATATTAAATCTATTATTAAAATGTTACGAAATACAATTAATAATCTATTAATGTCAATTCAATATTGAAGAATAACTATTATTAGTATATTTAAGGAGTTCAACATGCCACATATTAAAAAGTTACACATTCTCCTAAAATAACTTAAACAATATAGATATAATTAAATCAATAGTGATCTCTAACAAAAAAAATAAAACTATTCAAACAACATGGATATAAAATCATTTATTCCTAATATGATATTGTGTATTCGGTCATTTTTATAATTTTTTAAAAATTGAATAAGACTTTCGGACAAAGTTGTGTGTCTTGACTCGTGGAATCCCTATGTAAATACACTTGTCACATAAGTGTATCTCTCTTCACTCGTCAGCTACTTAGCGGCTCAGCCATCATGACTTGCAAGCTCTTGGAACAGGATGAACTTGTTTCTTGACATTTGTACATTACTCATTAGTCATTAAGGTTAGCGTAGTAGAAGCCTATAAGGTTATAGTGGGTTTGAGAAATTGGAACTTTATTTTTGTATTTTTGTATTTGTAACCAACTTAAGTATTAATTTTGGGCTTTAAAATTGTAATGAATTTCTACAATATATTAGAATTAAAAGTAATTGTTGAGTAGAGAGTCGGTACGGTATTATACCGGTATACCGCGGTATTTGAAAACATTTACCGTTACCGTACCGAAGTAGATCGGTACGGTAAGATGCCGTACCGAAAATGACGGTATACCAATATTTCGGTATTTTCCGGTATTTTTCGGTACGGTAAGTGCGGTATACCGATATTTCGGTATTTTTGCCCACCCCTAGACAGAGGTAGTATAATTTAATTCAATGTGTTTATACATTATTTATATATGTATATGTGTGTGTATGTGTAGGTTTGAGTATATATTTATAACGGGGGTGGGGGTGGGGGCAGGGCGAGTGTAGCAATCCTGATCCCGCACCCCATGTTTTAGCGGAATAAAAATATCTCATTCATACCCTCCTCATCCCCGCCCCAAGCCCCACCCCATCTTTCCCCCGGGGGCGAGTCCCCACCCCATTCTTATCCTTAGTTAAAACTTAAAAGGTGCCAAAAGGCGTAGCGATTATCAACGTTATGGTTCACTACTTATTTGTTCAATCCAACACAAGTATTATGAATGTCCATTATTGGTCCGACAGTGTAAATCATTTATTATGGAGTATTATTATTTGTGGTTATGAACCAAAATACTACGTACAGAGTAAAAGTTTCCCATGCCAAGTAACATTTTTTAGTTAACGGATATGGTTTGACGGGAGCCGATCCTGGTCAGCCATAGAGTGCAGGAAATCAGGAAATGGCAACGGTGACCGAAAGGACAGTCGTCGCCGGCCATCACCATGCGGCAGATCTCTGCTTGTATCGTGGATGTCGGATCACTGGCCGTAGTTCTTTCACACCGTGAGCAAACTGGCAGTTCTTGCCATAAGGACACTCCCCGGTTTCTTGCCACTTGTTGCAAAGCTCTGTTTTGATTATTCCTTGATTGTACACATCAAACTCGAGAGCCTCGTCTTCCTTTTTTGCCCCGGGAAGGTGTACTCTTTGCTGCAGTTCATCATAGATCAACAAAGCCTCGTCTTCCTTTTTTGCCCCGGGAAGGTCTACTCTTTGCTGCAGTTCATCGTAGATCAACAAAGCCTCGTCTTCCTTTTTTGCCCCGGGAAGGTATCCTCTTTGCTGCAGTTCATCGTATATCAACAAAGCCTCGTCTTCCTTTTTTGCCCCGGGAAGGTCTACTCTTTGCTGCAGTTCATCGTAGATCAACAAAGCCTCATCTACCTTTTTTGCCCCGGGAAGGTATCCTCTTTGCTGCAGTTCATCGAAGATCAACAAAGCCTCGAAAACAGGGTTAGTTCTAGATAGATTTAATAAAAATTAACCAAATTTGATATAATTGTGCACCGGCGTACTCACCAATTGGGCTAGAGGCTTAGTCGTATGATTCGTATCACGGTGGCTATTCTGGCAGCTGGATGAACCATGTTGCGCCTTCAGCTTCAGGTAGCCACTGGATCGTAATGAAATGCTCTTTGGAAGCTGGACTTGCTCTTGATACACTCTTTCGATCCGGTGTTGCTCTATGGCTACCGGCGGTGGCCTGGGGATGGGAGAATCTGATTCTGCGATGAGAGCGTTACGGACAGGGGAAGCTTGCACTCCGATGCCGAGGTTACTGAAATCTGAGAGAAGACCATTTTGGATCATAGCCTGAGAGAGCAGATTCAGACGCTGGACCAAATCGGCATTGGCTAGATGAAGAGCTTCGTTCTCACTGCGAAGCGCAACGACTTCCTCGCGGAGCGCAACGACTTCCCCGAGAGACTCCTTGAGGTACTCGAGGACGTACCTGGATTGAAAGAGTCGGCGTTCTGTCGCCATAGCTTCAGCTTCACAGAATGAGGTATCATCAGATGGAGATTTCCAATTCCGAGACGAGAGGGAAGAAGAGCAATGGTTCGCTGCGTAGTTTGAGCAGGCCTTTCCGCCATCAGAAGCAGACTTATCTTTAAGCATCGAAGGAGCTGATAAACAAAAAAAAAGTAAAATTACCATCGTCGATCAATATGATCGAAGCAACGGGTTTCAGTTCGAACTAACAAAACTGATAAAGCACAGAGCAGCATTAGGTCTGATCTCCTATACATCAAAATTGTTTTGAAACTGAAAGCACAAATTCAAGTATCCAAAACAGAAACATATTCGTCGATAGTTCAATTCAGTCAAAATAATCACAACTGTGAAACATTATTATATTCCAATTTGAAATTGAAGCAGAAGGCGGCAATTCGATCAAGTATCTACGCCCAATTCAATTGCACAAATTCAGCTATTGGAACTTCAATTCAATTCGTTTAGATGTGAAATCATATGATATGATCACTAAACTACGACCTGAGATTGCACAACTTACTGATCTCCATATACGCATCCACTTCAGGTGGCTTCATTCCGAGAAATGAACGGAAATGGAGATGACTGTGGTTGCAGATGGCATGAATTTGGAAGCCGCACTAACAGACTCGTCAGCTGGATATAGAATTTATAGACATACGCTATTGATTGCTTACCGCTCAAGCGTTTGAATGAGTTCTTTTGGCGGGGAAGTACAATATCTAGATTAATGAGAACTCAAAAGTACTTCCGTTCTTAAATAAGTGCAACAGTCAACATTTCACATTTGTCGAGACACAATTTTGACCATTAATAAATATAACTCTTTATTAGTAAAAAAAAATTTAAAAATCAGATTTTGAAAATTTACCATGAGACCAATTTGGTAATAATTTTTTCAAAAATATATATTAATACATCAATAAATAAAATGTAATCAATGTAGAACATGTAAATAGTGTAAAATTTGGTATGTTGCACTTATTTAAGAACGGAAGTAGTATAATATTTAAATTATTTACTTAACACTATTAAATAACATCTGTGAAAGAAAAAACATATGATTGTAATGCTAAAAGGTAGATTCTATGGTACCCATAAGGTACCATACCTTTGTCCAAATGGATCAATGAGAATGTAGCAGTTGAATTATTTAAATCTAAATTAAAAATGATAAAGTGATGTGGTCGAATCAAACGAATGGTAAGTACGGTACCCCATTTTTTAGGAAGGTACCGGAGTTGTTAGCATGCTAAAATAACTCTTTATATAAAGTTTGGGATACGTATATTAGTTATTCAAAAGACTAATTAATTTGAAAATTTCTAAAACCAGAAGGGCTAATATCTTAAAAAAGTGACTATGCCCATTTTTAGATGAATAAATTAACAAAATGTGTAGTTTAGTTAGTTTTGGAAAAAAAAAAGCAAGCTAGGAATGAAATTTAATGAATAAAAATAGGCATTGAACATTTTCTTTTTATTTAGAAAAAAATAGATTAATTTGTATTCGATCATTGGATGCAACTGAGAGTTATAAAAAAATATTCTTTTCATTGGAATATATAGACCGGAAACATGTTTAGAATTAGTTCAAAAAGGACATATTCAATAAATTATAATATGCATTTTAAACAAATGTTATAATTGACTACATAAGTGATTTTTCGTTACTAAAACTAAACAACAAAATCATTTTACCCCGTGCACGGCATGGGTAAAGATACTAGTGTGTAATTAAAGTTATCATTTTATTTCAAAAAATGAAAAGTTTCCAAAATTGGATTAAAATTATGTGAAACTCCAAAAACAAAAGTATTATATTTTCCCGAGTAGTAACGTAACTGATTGGCACATTTTGACATTGTAAAATTTTAATAAACTGATTGGCACATTTTGACATTGTAAAATTTTAATATGATTTCATATGTCATAGCAACAGTAGTTTTCAAACATCTCAATAATATGAAAACATTAAAGTTATATTTAGGGAATAAAATTTAGTTCTCATTTTTAAAAATTTACATTACTTTTAATCATGTCAAGATCAATTTCTTTAAAAGAGATCTTGTATAATTTTAGACTGAAAAAATTAAACTTTTGGTCTCATGACTATTATGTCATTTCCACATTTCTCCATTGACTTTCAATTTAACCACATTTAGTCTGTGTCTTTTTCCCTTTCACCATCCATCGTCCTTCCGACAACAACTTCGGCACATTTTAACCAGAAATGCATTTACGGATAAATATTAGGGGCATTTTAGTAAATGTATGTTGTTAAAACAGCTACCTTCTAAATTAACTTGACTTAATGCGTAGTTAATACGTCGATCTCATTAATATGTGGTTGAGAGGCAGAAATGTTCGGTTGTCAGGGAGAAGGAGACTAACATATTAACTACGCATTAAGTCAAGTTAATTTATAAGGTAGCCCCTTTAACAACATACATTTACTAAAATGCCCCTAATATTTCTTCGTAAACGGCTTTCCGGTTAAAATGTGTCGAAGTTGTGATCGGGAGGACGAAGGGTGGTGAAGGGGAAAATGTCACGGACTAAATGTGGTTAAATTGAAAGTTAAGGGAAAAATGTGGAAGTGACATAATAGTCATGGGACCAAAAGTGAATTTTTTTCTAATAAAATTATAAAAATCATGTAGAGACTAGAGTAGCTCTCTATTTATTACATTGTGATTTGTCCATGGAGTAGTTATATGCTTAAAGATCCTGAAAGTCTGAAATGAATTAATTCCACTTAAGGTCCTTCAAGTTTTGTGTCATTTCCATATTTAGTTCTCGTCTTTCACTTTATCTATTTTTGGTACCTGACTATTGTTTTCTTGGCATTTTTACTACCGAAAAAGGACTATATATGGTCAAGAAAACAATAGTCAGGTATTAAAAATGGATAAAGTGAAAGACGGAGACTAATAGTGGAATTGGTGCAAAACTCAAAGGACCAAAAGTGGATTTCTTCAATAAATAAAGCATTAGACGTTCATGATATATCAAGTCAAACGTTCCAACAAGTATATGACTATAGTTGGTATAGAAGTCCAAAGGATAAAATCTGGTAACATATACTTCCTATTTAGTTAGCGAAACTGCCAAACACCGCAAATTATACCGTGGGATCGGCCCACCATGAGCATGGTGTGCCGATCCCAAAACGGTACAGTTTTATGCTTCCTATTAAAAAAACATCAATTGCCGGATCCCCTTCGTCTCCTTCATTGTTTCAGCTCACCATAGAACTCCGCCGCACTCCAGATGTTGGACCAGAAGTCATTCCAAGAGTTCTTTGCATAAAAAAGAATTGTGTTTACATACCTGCTTCTCAAATACGAATTGTGCATCGCATCAAATAGACCCAAACAAAAGATTATCATTCAATCGCCCCATTCAACATATCCCTTTTTTAATTCTGAAATTGCAGGTGCCATATTTTGGATCTGGAGTATTGCGTATATGTGGGTAAATATAAATATATAATGACTTCAAGCTAAATGTTTGTTTTAGTATATATGTATAATAGGAATAATGTTTTGAATATGAAAGTTCAGATTCTAATGAAGAAGACTCACTTTCGTTACAGGTTGAAGATGACTGCTATGAATTATTTTAGACCTCCTCTAACTTACATTTTACTCACACTCAAGTTACACCAACGTTTGCCTAAAGTTACATATCTATTAGCGTGAGTTACATGTCAACTTTCTTCATCAAGTTACATCTCGCTTACATGTAATTTACATTTTCCATAATGCGAGTTACACCACAATATAATGTGAGTTACACAACCCAATAAGCCCTGCTATTCAAAGAAAAATTATTTTCATAAAAAACATTTTTATAGATTTGATATTAAAAACAAAACATATACAATATTTATGTAAAATAATTGGGCAAATAGTTTTCTTCTTTTCATTATTTATATTGAAATCAATGTTTTATTTCTTATACTATGTATTTGACAAGTTACATTTCGACTGGACTTGAGTTACATCGATCAATAACATGAGTTACATTATTTTACACGCGAGTTACATCATTCATGTTTTTGGGACAAAAAATAGTCACTGTTCACGCGTTACTGTTCACGTGTTACTGTTCACGCGATTTTTTTTAAATATGCAAAACTACATCGTTTTGAGATGTGGAGTACGGTGCTCACCGTGGGTTGATCCCACGGTATAGGAACTGGCCAAACACCTTTTTTCAAATCAAAGTTGTTCAATTTTGACTGATTACATATTTATACACGGTAATATTGATAATATGAAAATTATATGAAAATATTCTTTGTTAAAAATACTATCATAAAAGTATAAAATTATTATCTTTCATATAAAATATTAATTAAAATAATGGATCAAAGTTGGCTAAATAAAAAGGGATGGAGGTAGTATATTTTTATATAATTGAGCATAGGCTAAAGGGCCAAATAAGCCCCTGAATTGGCTTAAAGTGTTCAATTAGCTCCTTATATAGGAGGTTCTTCCCGGCCATCGCCAATTGGGGCGGTTCCCGGTGGAAGTTTTTGATAAAAAAAAATTGAGCATCTTTTTGATTAAGTCTAGTTTACTCATACCAAATTTCAGCTAACAATTCAACCGGGAAGGCAGTCAAATGATTTTTTGAAGATAACTGCGAAGTTAAAAAGCGCAGTACATTTCGGAAAATCATTTGACTACCTTCCCGGTTGAAGTTTTAGCTGAAATTTGGTATGGATAAACTAAACTTAATGAAGAAGATGCTCAAAAAAATTCATCAAAAACTTCCATCGGGAACCGCCCCAATTGGCGACGGCCGGGCAGAACCTCCTATATAAGGGGGCTAATTGAATACTTTAAGACAGTTCAGGGGCCTATTTGACCCTTTAGCATATTCAATCGCTTCAACAAACATTTCAAGCCTCTAAGCTAATTTGTTTATTATTATTATTATTATTATTATTATTATTATTATTATTATTATTATTATTATTATTATTGTTATTATTACTATTATTACAATTATTACTATATTATTATTATAAACAGCTTGAGAGAGGATGTGATTGAGTGCAATTATTTTTGCATAAGTAATTCAAACCTCCGAATACATTTTATAAAAACGGTTGTACTAACAATCTAATACTTCGTATACACTTATGTATTTGCTTTTGATTCCAATTGATTTTATTCTTGACAACTTAAATATCTAGATTTGATGAGAAGTCGTGAGAATGGAATGATATTCTAGCTTTAATGAGAAAATGTGACCTTGAGACTAGTTGAGAGTGGGCTGCTCAAGATTAGGGTCGCGTATACCATACAGCCGGCTGTACGGCTGGCACCGTACAACCGGTGGCATTTTTGTAAATTTGATGAACTTCATGAATTCTCTTATATAAGCATTGATGCAAGTTGGATGAGCATCGAGTTTGTTCTTCTGAGTATTAGGAGTCTAACAATGAGCACCAGTGATCCCTGCTTCATATCTTCTAATTCAGTTTCTTTTTATTAATTTTCGTTTATAAAAAATTCTTAAATTGTGTTTAAAATTAATTTCAATATGTCAATCTAATGTAGTATGATATGTTTGATATGTGCATCATTTTAAAATGAGCATAAACCAGTATCAAATGAGCATATATAATTTACAAAATGAGTATAAAAAAAATCAAAACTTCATTTGTGTATGCTCATTAATTTTGGGCGTTATATTTGATATGAGCATCATTTTAAATTGAGCATAAAGCAGTACCAAATGAGCATACATAATTTACAAAATGGGTATCCAAAAATTCAAAAGCTTATTTGTGTATGCTCATTGATTTTGGACGTTATACTCATTTAAGTTTAACAAAAAAACACATTTTTAATGTGTTTAATATTCAATTGTGTATGTTCATTTCTTTGAGGCGTATACTCATCTGAGATTTATATAAAACTCATTTTTAATGAGTACAAAATGAGTATCAAAAATTCAAAAGCTCATTTGTGTTTGCTCATTGATTTAGGGCATTGAATTTGAATCTATATGAATCTAATATATGAATTTGATGTAATATTATACTTTTGAAAAATGCATGAATATGACATTTTAAAATGAGTTTACACCAATACGAAATGAGCATACACGAATTACGAAATGAGTATCGGACAATTTAAAAAAACTCATTAAAATCTCCACTATACTCAACTTTTTATTTGTGTATACTCATCAGTAAGACTACGATTATACTCCATCAGAAAACGAAGAAAAGGAGAAACAGGAGCCAAATATAGGGTTGAGATGCCCTTTCATCCCCGTCAATCGCGAAATCCACCATAGACATCAGTTGAGAGCTCCATCATCACAGATCCGGCCAAGAGGCGAGCTCAGGGAATCCCTGTGGCGAGGAAGCCACGAACCGCGCGAGCTGGGAACGATGACCATACAATGCGCGAAGCCTCTCGAGGACGAAGAAGAGATGGAGATGGTGCGAGGGAAGCCTGCTGGAGACGACGACCTGTGCTGCGCAGAGAACAAAAAGTCCGGCTGTACCGTGCGCACGGTACAGCCGGCTGTACGATGTAATTTACCCAAGATTAGATGTAGTACTACGTATTATATAAAATTCTGTTACAGTCTCAAAACTCAGGAGCACCCATAGGGATGGACCTACCGACCTAGGTTGGTCCGGTCCCGGGCCAAGACCGCCAGGTCCAAACCCAGTTCCGAACCGCTTTTCCCGGTTCTGGGTCGGTTCCGGATACCCAATCGATCTGGTTTTGGTCCCGGACCCAGTTCCCATTATCTTTTTAGCTTTATGGTCTTCTCAAGATTAAAAAAAATCGGACCGGGACCGAAAGCGGGATAGAAACCACCTGGCTCAGTCCCAAAATCGGGAACTGCCGAACTAATACCCTGAACCACTCTCGGACTGTCGGACAGTCCGGCCCGGTCTGGTCCCAGGCCCGGGACCGCTCAAAACGGACCTAGTCTGGACCAAAACAGTGCCAGACCCGGTTCCGAACCGGTTCACCCCTAAGCGCACACATGATGCAAATGGAGATTTAGAAATGAGGTTCACGTGCTTAAACTCTGTACACTCACATGTGTGCGTCAAATGTTCTTCAAGATTGGGAAGAAAAAAATTATCTCAACTTTTGATAAACCTTTTCAGAGGTCTTGACTTTTGAAGCAAAGTAAGGGTCAGAAACCATAATACGTAGTATATCAACTAAAAAATATTTCAACCCTCCACACGCACAGAAAAAGTCAGCTCCGCCCCAACCTCTTGGATCCCCTACCCATAGGCCAATTACACACTCCACCTGCATCCAATCCTCCTATGATCCGCATCTTCTTGGTGGACAAGGACAGAAAACTTCTGCTGCTTCGGTGACAATGGGAGAAGATCGAAGTTGGTGGCTATCTATCTTGAAGTAGCACGGATTAGGCCACTATATTAGGGCATATCTATTGAAAATTTTATGCTGATGGGAGATTAGGGCATATCAAAAGAAAAACAGTAGGGACATTTTAGTTGCAAGGATTAGGCCACTTATTGCACATAATAATACGCTCACATCATTTGCTATTTTACTGACTAAACATCATATATTTTACAGCTGTACATGTGTTGTACGTAATTTTATTTTCCTACACAAGAGAGAAGACACAAGCATTACCAATTTCATGGGGCTTTCATTATTAAGAAAGAGTTAAGAAGCCTGAGTAAAGGATAGTCTGCTTGGTGAATCAATTCTCACAATGTGTTCATCCTCACCACCAGATTCATCACTTGATTGATCTCTACCCTCATGGTTTGCAAGTTTAGTAACACTGTCTTCTTTGTTGGTTCCATGAACATCAACAGGCTTATAAATGGTGCAAGATCCCTCTGATCTCGCAGAGACAAGAGGCCGTGCAACATTTGATGAAATCCTTGGATATGACAGACTTTGAGAAGTAATGCTTTTGTCTTTTGGCCCTTTGGTGCTGCTTGTCTAATCATGCAAATCAATAAGATGAAGCAAAGTCAACACCATAACTAGCACTAGCAATGAGGTTGGGGGTGAGGATTAAAATAATGCATTAACGCACAAGTTCAGTTGCTGAAACAATCTAGGTTGTCTTTCTCTTCCCAATCATGCTTGGGAAGAGAAAACAACGGAACCGGTGAATTTGTCTTTTGTGATCAAATATGGAATTAAAAGAACAACAAAGTATGTCTGTGCAGAAGTAGTATTACTACTGCTGCTACTAATATCTATGATGCCTTGGGTGACAGCGCACGACACAAAATCACTTGCTGTCAGCGACAGCAGCATATAGCACGTGCCTTTGGAGGCAAATTGTCAGACAGTAGCGACCACCACCATTGGCCAAGGATAGCAACTGTCATTGTCAGAGATGACATCAGTGGAAGGTGCTACTAGCTGACTACTGATATTGATTATGCAATCAATAGCTACATAAATGGCTGCTGATGTCCTTATTGGTTATAGAAAATGTTAAATGTGGGAAATTGTATTTATAAAGTTGGTTAGATAATGCTATGTAATTCATTCTAGAGATAATACTCATTTTAGTCCTTCTGACTATTCATTATTACTCCGTCCCTTCAAATTCTTCTCACTTACCTTTTTGGGAAGTCCCAAAATATTCTTTCTCATTTCTCTTTTTAGAAAGTTTTGTGTGGCTAACATTATTTACATTTTTTTACATTTTTCTTACTTAACCACAACCATACATTTCTACTTTATTCCCACTTTCTTAAACTCCGATCCAAGTCAAACCGGGAAGGATTTATGGGACGGAGGGAGTATTAAATTTCATCTTTGACTTTCTTTTGGATAATAAATCCCAATTTTTGTGTGTGTTACAACCTATACCGTGTCATAACTTTTTTGAAACTATAGAATAAACCAATATGTGGTGGAACAAGTCTTCCTGCAATGGTGGGTGTAATACCCCAATACCGTAGCAGTAAATCTATACGATGCAATGTCCAGGAGTAACAAGCAAAGGTGACATTCGTATTGCACATGAAGTAGTATAGTAAGGAAACAGATTAACTTACCATACCACCAAACATACATGGGTGCATTGACGGTGTGGAGAGAATATTTTTCTGGCGATAAGTGCCTTCTCGACTGTAATGGTCTTCGGGCAAAGATGAATGTTCGGGCCAACTCATTAGGCTCCCACCATCTCTACTAAGTGATCTAAGTTGGAGCTCTGCTGGATGTAATAAAAACGAAGATGAAATCCTATGGGAGCTTGAGTGTGTTTCAAATGCTCCAACATCATCAAACACGATAACCCTAGCTCTTGTCTCAACTTGATACCAATGTGGTTGATGTGAAAAACTGTCTACCCTGGCACCTACTATCCATAGTAGAATATTGATGACTAATATGTTTGAGATTGTAACAAAACATCACTTCAAACCATACATATCATAACAAGCATGCTAACCCATGATTCTACATACTTAAGACGCTTTCATCAATGCACATAATGTAGAGAATCGAACGTTCCTCAACAAATATAATTTACAAAAAATAATTTCCTCATATTAGTTTATTACCAATAAGGTAATAAACTAATTACCTAATGGTTAGACTGATCATGAGGAGCTTTAAAGATTCACAGGTGCAACACTGCAACTCTACTATAGCTAGTGCTACTTCTGTTGTTGCCAATCAGTCAACCATGTATGGGATGTTAACTCAGACTGGTGTGTGACATGAATCATAGTTCAGTCAAGTTAAGACAAGGTCAAATTTTAAGTCGTGGATGCTCTTGTGAGAACCAGAAGTCAAGATAAAGCTTAACTTCTAAAGAGTTCAAATTCAAGTGAAAATCAGTTCAAGTTTTTCAATGTTCAAATTTAAGTTCCATGGTCCAGTTCATTTCATGCTTGAAGCATATATTTGCATATGACCCGGCTTGAGGGAAGCGTTGATGTAAAAACTATAGAAGCGAGTAATGCATTTTACAAAAAATAGTACTACCTATTATTGAGTGATTTCTTTTATTTTTATTTCTCTATTCATGCCTTGTAAGAATGTTTAGATAATATGGAGTTCTAACTTGTAAGTTAAAAGACATATCAATAGAAGTATGTATTATTCAAAAACTGCTCAGTAGTTAAAAAGGTAACAAGAAATCTTGTCATGGAGATTATGAAATATGAATAACAATATATTACCTTCCTTTTCAGATTTCCCTGAACTTTTCCCTTCGCAAGAAGGATATAATGCTGCAGGAAAGGATACTAACTGGCCATCTTCACCTTGACTCTTCACAAATCCTTCTAATAAAAAACCAATAGAATGGTGAGCCAATTCGAAACTTTCCCCCCTTGTGTATGTACTCAGTGTGGATTTTCGTGCAATAAAAGCTCTTAGGTCAGGCATCCCAACTTTCCCAAAAACTTCAGGAAGCAAGACATTGGCAAGAACAGTAGCACTTTCCTGCAAAACAGGGGACTTCAAATGTGATTCACTGACAAATCTTGATACAACAACAACAGCAACAACAACATTACCCCAGTGCCGCAAAGGCTCCCACCTACGATGGGGTTGGGTGGGGGGGTTGGGTGTACGCAGCCTTACCCCTGTACTCAAGCACAGAGAGACTAGACTGTTTTCAAATGACCCATGATGAAAATCGCGTAGAAATTTGCATGGACTGATTGTTGCTTCATAACAAAGAAGCGCAGACAGTTTAGTGACTTATTTTTCTTTATTCCATCATATTCACTGACAAATCTTATTATCTTAATATTCTTATTATAAAATATATAGTAGGCCATAGGTATTGAGGCCAATAGTGATTGAGCTTCATAAGATATATATCAAACCAAATCACTACGTTGGAAAGGGTAAAGTAGATGGGCACAATGGGTCAAAGAAAATAAGACAAATTCCAAGTATAAGAGTAAAGAGACTGCCCAGGTCACACTTGATACTAATGAACTCAAATTGAACGCATGCGTAAGAGAAGACTTATGTAACCCACTAAAATCCAAACAGGAAATTCCTTTTTGAGGCTAGTACATGAAATAACAAATTTTACACAAGTGGCACAACACCAACTTTGAAAGGAATATGTCAAGTGCACCCTTATAAACAGCCCTAGCCCCAAATTGATTTCTAAATCTGATTAGCACTTATACTAGAGATACAAACCATTCCACACATCTCTTATATTCAGGCATCACCCATGTAACTATAGGAGTAATAAGACCCCTCTTTTCTTTATAGTGTTTATCCTGCCATTTAGGTTCTCAGAAAAAAAAAGTCCATGCTTCCATAATGTAAATCTTTTCCTTGCTACACTCACAAATATAATATGCCAGGTGAATCTTTTAGGAAGGTAAGAAAAACAGAGCACTTAGAATCAGTTTATGCAGCGAGTGCAGGTATTGGTTATCATATGTTCAAGCACAATCTCTGATCATGTTTATTCATTTCCTATTTTATCTCTTGTACAAAACGTAAACACAAAAGAAATTAGGCAAATCTTTAAACGTGCAATTTAAGCTAGCTTACGCTAGTAACTAAATTAGGTAAACAAGTAAAAAACTAAACACAACAATTGAAACTGTACCTGCCAAAAGAAATCTTCTACTGTAGGATTAGATTTAAGAGCATAAAGTAACTTCTTTGTTTCAATAAAACAACAGCGAACCACTGAATCAGTGACAATATCACAGATGTATGGCTTTCCAACAAGAACTTCATACAATCCCAATGTAATTCCATGTGTAAATGTGGGATGCAGCCGGTGGTTATGGCTTGAAATCCGGCTTGTCCACTGTCAAGGAAAAATACTGGATGTTAATAATGTCTAAGCACCTGCAGGCTACAGATGTTAACCGTAAACTGTTCAATCATATAAAACATAATATTACCTTCACCACTCCATTTGTAATAAGCCAAATACCGGTTGGCTTATCTCCTTCTCTATACAGTGTAGAACCACTTAACTTCATAATCTCCTTGGTACAGCCAACTAGGGTCTCACTGACTGTGGAAGGAAGGGCTCCTAGGAAAGGATTTATACCTATCAAATCACGAACACTTGACATCTTTACTCCAGGGGGGTTCCGTAAGAGTTTCTTCAGGTCAGTCTCCATAAATTCAAAGACAATAATTAGGATGAAATGTATAAAGAATCAAATATAATTGTTAACCATAATGTGTATGGTCCAAGCACACTAATATATAATATATATTGATTTATTTATAACTTTATATCTACAATTTACTTGTATTGTTTTAAATGTACAGAAATTTCAAGCTTTTCAAGAGAAGAAGAGTTTTGCATGCTAATCATAGATACACACACATTAAAGCTTCTTTTTAGATGTTGATAGGTAAGGCCATGATAAGCGTTTTCCTAACAGGTTTTATACAATGATTTTAAGAATAAAAGCCTCACACATTTGCCTCATTTTGCAAGAAGGTACTTGTAGGAAAGACTGGACCAAATACAAGGATGATAGAACACGCACGAAGAATCCCAACAAGAAAAGGTCAACCATACTCATCCCGAAGAACAATCAAAGTCAATAAGACTGCACAAACGTAGCGAAAGCTGCCCGGCTTTCCCAAACGCCGCCCGGATTTTGCCTGTCAGGCATCCAGAAGCCGTGCAAGACAGAAGGAAGGCATATGGAACCAAAAAGGCCGAAAGCCGCCTGACAACCAGCGCCATAGTTTATTCGTGATTTAATTTACGAAAATCCGCCGATTTTCTGTGGAAGCTGCCCGGTTTTCGGCCCCTGGAACGAAGACACTTGGTATTTTAAAAGAGAAACCCGCCGGGATTTCACAATAGCCGCTTGGCTTTGACCAGATAATTGATTAAAACAGGCAACGGGCTTCACAATCATTTGAGAGAAAACACTAAAACCTATTAAGGAGCTTGCTTTCATGTCCAAAAATGGCCGTTGAAGACCTCCTATATAAGAGTTTTGAACCTCTTCATAAAAAATCATCACATTTTCTACACTCTACCTCTACATATCCATCTCAAGAGCATCCCTTGGTCTTGGGAGAAGTCTTTCATTGGGGAACCATTATTCACCATAGCTTCGGAGTTGTGGTACTATTCTTCTTATGTATTTCATTCAATTTATGCATTTCAATACTTGTAATTTCATTATGAATTGTTGTAGCTAATTTTTTCTTCTTATGTATTTCATTCAATTTATGCATTTCAATACTTGTAATTTCATTATGAATTGTTGTAGCTAATTTTCCATAGTCAAGGTTAGGGATGAAACTTTACGTACTCTAAGTGTTTGATGTATGTTCTCAACCAACTTATTATGATCTTTCCTTTATATTTTAATGTGTATGACTACAATGTACAACGTATGATTATATCGTTGGGTTAATTTGAGAAATTAACGTTGGATAACAAATTGTGCACTTAAAGGTTAAGACATATGGTGGTTTTTACAATGTCTTAATCTTCAATGGGGTTATTTTTAGATGAATGTAAACCGTGACGGGATTTACACCTAGAGTTAATCACAATCTCGCTTCAATAACAGGAGTTAGAATACTTTAGAGGCATTCCACTCATAAGAATTGGTGAAAGAACATATATTCATTGCTATGAGTCAATTAGAAGTAATTCCGAACTCTTGGTTGCTTTTATTATAGTTTGAAAACTAAAATCCCTTTTCTTTCTCCAAGTCTTTTTCCAAAACTCTTTCTGACTTTGAATCATATAAACATCGTTTCCTTGTGTTTGAATCGGTATTTTTACCGAAATTTTCATTACTACATTGGCACTTGTACATTTTCAAGTTTTAGCTGATCAAGCCACTTGCTAAAGGAGAGCTGGAGAGCTACAGAGTACTGCGTATTTGTAGGAGACTTGATTTTGTGGAAAGAAAGAAGCAAGAAGTAGCTCAGTAGCTGCACATCTAATATAGTGTCTGAGTATCACACTCCATGGCCCACATAACATGTGAAATCTTATGGATAAATAACTCATTGAATCGGACTGTTATCAAGTTTCATGTGCCAAACAAGTTGTTTGGGTGATAATCAGCCACTCATATTGCCAAAAACCTATGTGTTTGACGGGAAAACATAACATATTGAGGTGGTTTGTCATCATTTTATAAGTGAAAAGTTTCATTTGAGATTGCTTTCTACATCTTATTTACAACATGGACATCAGCTTGAAGATTTTTTTACAAAGGGGCTCAATAGATAATATTAGTACAAACTGATGTTCCTGATGTGGGTGGCCCTAGCCCATTAGTTTACAATTTTACATATCTTTAATTCTTTATACATACTCTACAATAATAAGTGATACATTACCTGTACAACATCATGAAGATGAATCATCTCTTTTTCTTCTAACAAACCAATCTCTTCAAGATTATGCACATACTTCATCAATCGATTCAGTACAGTATACGTTGTTTGTCTCGTTTTGACAACACGGAGAACCTGAGAACATGTGAAATCCGTTAAAACTAATACGTAAACACCAGAGCGCAAGCACAAAGAATCTTAACAGGCAACAATATCAACAGTTCCTAAGAAAGAATGAAAAAAATATTGACCATTGTGTTGACCTCATAAGTTTGTATTTCATAGTGTGACCAAGATGAAGGATGACTATATCATATGAATGTGTATTTCTCAGTAAACGAGGCATATTATTTATACAAAAACCTAAACTATGTAAATCGATTATGGTGCAGTTGGTGCAGCTATATAGTAAAAATACAGACATTCAGTATAACTATGTACGAACAACTATTCTCAAGTCTCAACACTCTGCTCAAGCTGGAACATATAAGTTGATGTGTCAAGCTTGCTACAAGAGTAGTCAATTCTAGGACCTCTTACAATCTTACAAACTTCGTACATATAATAGCTAATTGATAAACAGAATCAACAAAACATATAACAACACAGCAACACACCATTACACCCAGTGGTTATCTCTTCTCTAACAACAATGTGATGGTTTATTCTTAATCATGGACTTATGGATAAATCTTTGAATAAAAAATTAAAAGAACTTGAATGAATTAGTGTCAAAAGGCCTCTGGTGGGTGTTTAGTCTAACTTGGCCATATGCCCATATTAAGTAAAAAGTACGTCAATATTATCTGTAGAAAATGTTACATTATTGTAGAAAATGTTACATGATTTAATTTGGTGTACATACTTAGCCGAATAGATTAGAACATGTGCTGTTATTTAGAGATAAGCTCGTAGTAATCAAGATCCTATTTTTTAGGATCTAAATTAGCTGATTAGTTGCTTGTACATCTGTATAAATATTCTGGCCGATTGGCATATTCAATCAAGGAAGTTTTATTCCTAAAACCTACATTATCCCAAGGAACTGAGTTATGCACTTTGCTCCCTCCTTCCTATTTTACATGTTTTGTTTTCATTTTGTAAATCTCAAAATGTTGCCACTTCCAAATATAAATAACACTGTTTTTTACAAAATTACCCCAGTAGATGCCATAATGCTCTTCAGTCCTTCAGAGATGGACTAAAAGTGAAAAAAATGAGCTCTTCAGGACCCCCCCCCCCCCGGTATACAAGCCTAAACCCACCAAACTGGAGAGGAAAACAGATTGTATGCCTGATGTGTGCCAAGTTGGGTAAATTAAATGCCAGGAAATGAAAAGGGAAAGGATTACAACAACATCCAAGCCTTATTCCCAAAAAAATTGGGGTCGGCTAAAGGAGACCAATTTGAAATCACTCATTAATTCAGTAATGAAGAAGCCGAAAGAGACAAATTGTGGAAATGGTAAGTGATGATCTAGTTTTGCTGGTACCTCCATCTTCCATATCTGGTTCGCCATTGTCGCTAATTATATTGCTAGAATTATTCTCTATGAATATGGAGAGCCTTTCAGGTGCCAATTTTGTACTCCCTCCGTCCCAAAAAATAATTCCAACTTTGAATTGGCACGCTTATTAAGAAAGTGGATAAAGTGGAAATGTATGGTTGTGGTTGAGTAAAAAAAAGGTAAATGAATGTTAGCCACACAAAACTTTCCAAAAATGGAAGGTAGGAAGAATTTTTTGGGACATCCCAAAATGGTAAGTGGGAAGAATTTTTCGGGACAAAGGGAGTATTTTGCAGACTGAAATCTGAGTTTTAAATTTTGTGCTTGGAAAGGTGACATGTTTAGTTGTGAAGCCTTCATTGAAGGAGTTCAGTTGGAAGAGGAGGAAATAAATGTTCTTTTAGATGATTGATTTTCATCTCAAATAGGTGAAAGTAGTTGACACATAATAGGTTATGTGTCGCCTCTTTCATCCCCAAGAAGCAAGAGTACAAATTGGAAAACATTCACTTTTTCTTCTTTCATTAAAATGTGTGCTAAAAGTAAATTAGACAAACACATTGCAGGACAGTGATAATAATAATGACATAGATGCGTGTGGATTTAATGTAAAGATATTCTTTATTCTTGACATGTCCATGGATTATTTTATAATCCCTCCATCCCTTAAAGAAGTACCCATTTGGGTTTACGATGTTTGACTGGCGATAAAGTAAACCGATCCCTGTGAATACTCAGATTATTTTTAGCAAATAAAATTTACATGTTAGGAAAGTGCATTAAAAGTTTAATAGTCGCAAAAGAATCAAATTTGATAAAAATTGGATATATAACGTAAAAGATTAAAAACTATTTAAGTTGACCACACAATACTAACCGGGTACTTCTTTCAATGCCGGAGGTAGTATAAGTTATTTATTTTAAACCTATGAAGGACAGAAACTCTCCCGAAAGAGTAGGTTTCCATTTTAGATTCTCTACACAAAATGTTTAGAAACTATCCAAACACTTGTTTGTCTATTAAAATATGGCGTTTGCCGTTTCACGTTTCCCCATGTTCCTCACGTTTCCACGCAACATAATTGAACATATATATACTTATGTGTTCTAATACTAATTTACCCCTTGCTGTATTTTCAGGGTCTTGGAATGGTAAAGTCTGCGTAGAAACATATGCCCCGTTTACTGCAAAATATTTTTACCCCTTCCAGTGATAAAAATACTTTATACTTATGTTATGACATCATAAAAATATCTTGATAGGAAGAGTATAAAAAAACCAGTCCAAGTAAAACCATCTTCAATCTCGCCCACAAAATCCTAAGACGTAAGCTCCCATACCATTTGGAGAAGACAAAGGAAGAATATATTAATCAGTAATTGTTTAGAAAACGACTTGAAGTTCGCAGTTTGAACAACAATTCAAAATAAAATTTGATAGCAATTGTTCAAAGCTCAGTTGATATTTTGAAATTGCATTGCCAGGAGTATTGATAGGTACTCAACCAAAGCAGCATAAATCTGTAGAATATCGAGGAAGGTTGCAGAATTACAGTAGCAGAAATAGAAGAAAGAGAAAGATACAGCGAGACAGTTAGAGCAGTCCCCTCTCCCAAGTCTATTCCAATTTCTGCTTACCCTTCTCTCACTCCCACCTTACAATATATATGGCCCCGCCTTTACAATAGTTCCCGCCCTCCTTTAGACTGCCCCACCCTTTTCCTCTTATACACCTTATCAAAATACTGAACGTAATTATTATTATTAGGCCTTACGCCAGTAGTTAAGTCTTCATCAATTATATATGCTTCAAGTTTCACTAACCTGAGGAAATGTGAGCCGTACTTCTTCAAGAAAATTTTGTGCTTTCTCCCCTTCTTCTTTGCTTTCGTTTATCACAGATGATGTGATTTCACTATCTCCTGAGCAGAAAGGTCAATTAAACTGTCAGTACATCTATAAAACAACAATTCAAATTATCATTCTAAAATGCTCCAACCATCTCTCCAAGGAAAGCACAGAACAAATATGTTAGATACCATTGATTGGGAACTGATATCCAATAATGAAGGTGTGTTCCATATAAAACTTAAGCCTGTGATTCAGGTAGAATACATTTTTAAATACAATTTCAACGTAGCAAAAGATCATAAGTTCAAATCCCACTCCATGTCTTTTATTAAAATATTTCCATGTGTCTAAAGAAGTTTAAGTCCATACAAAACCTGAGCGTCATTAGATTCTGCAAAGCTAAGGCAACTATATGTTTAAAATCAATTATATTTAAACTGCACTAGTTCTAGCTTTTGGTGCATGAAAATCTACATTGGCATCGGATATATTAAAAGTTCCCCTGCATGAACCAACTGCAACCTCATGGCCTCACCAATAATGGCCATTACCTGACTAACTAACAAGTACCAAGCCAAATTCAATATTTTATGTGCGTGACAAAAAGCCTTTAAAAACTAAGAATGACTTGGTGAATGTAATATGAATCTAAGTTCATTTTGAGTGCGCATGAGCTAAACTTCTCTGACACGAACGTTTCATCTACAAAAAGATATTGTTTGTCCCAAAACTCTTCAAGCCTATGGGTTATGATAAACATGTTTTTCCATGATGAAGCATACAAATCATATTGACCTGATTAAAACAATATGCATACAGATTGTGTGTGAGTGACTTGTCTGTGTGTTATGCATGTATAATAAGGTCGAATGCATTATTCACTTCAAACAAAAAACAAGTACTGAAGATTTCCATTGAAGCAAATGTATGCCTTGAGAAAGATATGTACTCACCAATAAAGTCATTTAGTTGCTGCCTTGCAATCCTATGGGCCCGGAGAAAGGCTGCACAGATATAACACGCAAATTCTAATCTCTCGGCAGTGAAGTATGTGACAAGTTTTTGCGGGACAATACTTGTTTGAAGAATCTTATAACGATTCGGAATATTCACATAAGTTTTTAGGCCTTCCCAATCACACAAAGCCACATGAGATACTAAGTCAAGTGCTTCATCAACAGATTCCATTAGAATGTTTGCAATGTTCTGTGTTATCCTTCCCTCATTTAGCATTCCCCAGTAAGCAGCTTGAACACCTAGCAAAAAATAAATTGTATATGTTTTCATACACATGCTAAAAATTCCAATGCACACGAGGCATTTATAAGCGAAAATGATGCATACTCTTTGACCTTACATACTATTAAATTAAACTCTCCAACTAGCCAAGGTTGTCACGGCGGCTATGTGAGGTGCAGCTCTAGCAAACTGCTTAAGTGCCTTGTCTCCTAGGCGACTAGATGATAGCCTATGCCAAAATTAGGCATCAAGTAGTTGTATGCAATACTTTAATATAATATATTATAAAATATAATATATATGAACTACAATTTATCATAATTATACAAAACAAGAGCATGCCCATTTCTAATAAATTAAACTAAAAAGATTAGCAAAAGGCAATGGTGCGGTAAATGTGACTCCCAAGGCTCATTGACTTCTAATTTCTAGCTCTCTAGTTTTCTAATTTTCAGCTTTCCAATTGTCTTCAAATTTTCTATTTCCTATTTTCAAACAATGTTTAACAAAGCATGGTTTCACCAACGCGGTGGGGGCAACTGATAGGCTCATTACCAGCTTTTATTCAAACAAAAGAAATTGCTACAGAGAAAGGGGGACCCAGGAAAAGATAAATTTAATGTCACCGTGGGGACAATAGTCACCATGGTGGTCGCTAAATGGTGGTTTGGCATTTACCGGTAGTAGGTATTATTTTATGATACCTGTTAAAATTATGCATGTATGTGCGTCTATATACTAACTTTTATTTTTTTAGTTGCTATATTTTGACTTTCATGTTTGCCATTGCATGAATTTTGCCATTAATATGTTTAATTATTCATCAGTAAACAATATCAAAAGATTATATTTTGAAAACTTACATTGGAAAAGATCAAAGCAGAATATATGATAGTGCAACTGTCCAAGCGTTGCAACTATAAAAGGAGGAAGTACATACCTTCGTAGAAGAATCATTTTCATTTTTAATGAATCACCTTTAGAGATTCATTAAAGGTGATGTGATGCTGCCCATATAGAAATAGAAGTGATAACAAATAATAGTGCTTACCATTCAAAAAGCGAATCCGGATATCTTTTGTATTTAGATGATGTAGGCTATCGTTGTTTCCTGATGAAGAATGAGGGTGCATTCTTTCATCATCCTCTAAATCATTTAAGCATGTAAGATATCTTTTGACAGTAGGCCAGTCAACAGGTCCTAGTTCCTCGTCATCTCCAAGGTCAGAAAATGCTTCCACAGCTTTGTTCAACATCTCATACTTCGTGTAATTTAATATGCGCCGCTTCACAAAAAAAAAAAAAACATGCTCACATACTTAATACTTAACAGCCATGAATCCTCACATACAGCAACAAATAAGACAGCCATGGATTTTTTTGTTTCCATAAGTTTTGACTATTCAAGCCTATAAATGTATGAACTTTATATACTCATGTTATATTAGATAATATATGCATTAAATATTTATTATGGCTACTTTGACATAAAGGATAGAATATGGAACCCAATAAGACATATTACCATCTGTTGACTGTTTAAACATATATTACTCATTAAGTGTTCGTTATCCAATGATTCCCCCCTAATTAGTGTGCCAGAAGCGGGAATTTTTCTTTCATCATCATCATCATTAACCCAGTGCCGCAAAGGCTCCCACCTACGGTGGGGTAAGGGGTGGGTCGGATGTACACAGTCCTATCCCTATACTAAAGAAGTGGGTATTTTTCTTTCAATCAATCATCATTTACCCCAGTGCCGCAAAGGCTCCCACCTACGGTGGGGTAAGGGGGGGTCGGATGTACACAGTCTTACCCATGTACTAAAGCACAGAGAGACTATTTCCAGATGACCCATAGTGAAAATTGCGTCCAAAATTGCATGGACTCACCGCTGCTTCTTTAACGAGATTAAATTCCTGGGTCATGCTTCACAAAACACTCTAACTCTCCATGAAACAGGGTTAGACACATGTCGTCTACATATACATGAATGAAACAATCCTTGCCCGTAACTGTAACATGATATAATAGTCGCGCGATGACTCAAGCATCGGTATATAAATGAAATTTTCCTCAATGAATCTTGGGGAAGCCATAAATTGCCTATATCAATCATCAATCATCATTTACCCCAGTGCCGCAAAGACTCCCACCTACGGTGGGGTAAGGGGGGGTCGGATGTACGCAGTCTTACCCCTGTACTAAAGCACAGAGAGACTGTTTCCCGATGACCCATAGTGAAAATTGCGACCAAAATTGCATGGACTGACCGCTGCTTCATAACAAAGAAGCGCAAACAGTTAAGTGAGCCATTTTGCTTTATTCCATCATAAATTGCCTAATTTACTTTGTTTCAATGAACCCTTTTTATGATGATTAAAAGCATTGAGTATAAAATAATTGCAAACCTACCTTTGCTGATGATAGCTTATCCATTTTTAAGAAGTGTAAAATGAATTGTGTTGTTGATCCATTGATAATCAGCGTCAAGAACACAATTCCACCGGTAAAGAAAATGAACTGCAAGTTGAATATGTTTAGGTGTGAGCATGTGGCAAACGGTGAAAATGTGCAAATAACATCTTGCCTGACATATTTGGTACTCAGGGCATAGCTTGGGTTTTCAAGTCCCTCGAGGAAATATATCATAGTTTGATTGTGTATTTGTGCACATCCAAACCAAAATATAAGAAATTACAAGATTTATTTTGCTAATAATTCCATGCGACTTTTGCTTTACATACCAGAGTTCCAGTCTCTGAATTGATAAGAGATGAGTTACCACTTGAACGCTGAAATGATACAAAGGAGTGAAGGACACATTATGTGTAACATTGTACAAAACCGCCAAGTCGATAGAGAAACTATTAACTATATTGTGTATATTGCCAAATCCAACACCACCAACTGAGCAAGTGAATATATAGAAGAGTAAATGGAATATAGAAGATAGATGTGAGGGAAACTCTCATCACAAGGGTGCATATGGCATAGCACTGTGTACTTAATGCTATACTCCCTTCATCCCAGTTCAAACATAATTAGGTGCAGATTAGGCGATAAGAATAGTTGGGAAATAGAGACAAAATGTCTCACTTGCCTTCACAGATAGCGAAAGAGATAATGCTACAGCCCCTCGTAGGCCAGACCATACGAGAATAATAGCTTCTTTCCAATCTAAACCATAGCCAAAGCACCTCAGAAGTGGAAACAATACTCCAACAACAACTATCCGGGAGACTTGAACAAAAATGTAGAGAAGGATGAGGTAACCCCAGGAATATTCTGAAAATTTTATCTTTTGAATTAGAAGATCCTGAAATATGATCCTTTTGAAAATTTCTAATGCAGTGAAATCTACAATAGCATTAGAAATGAAACCATCGGTGATCAAGTATGATGCATGTGTACCCAAAAACAAAGTGGATATATTATGTATAAAACATTACATGTTATTTACTAAAAAGAGAATCTATATTTACTCTTTTGAGGAAAGAGATCTTCCATAGTCTGTTAAGCTTGACTATTGATTTTTAGACCTTGTTGTACCATGCTTATATAGATACATAAGGCATATCAAACACTAGGTGTACTAACTACTAAGTGTATGCTGATTATATGCTCAAGATGTGCTACAGGCTACATTAACAACTAGTCTGCTGTTCTCACAGGCACTTTCAAGAATAACAGCTTGTCTGTTACATTCACTACTACATTTAAGAAGAACCTCTTTTACATTCATATATACTTATAACACTACCCCGAGTTCATGCTGATTCCAAGATTGACAGCTTGTTTGTTGCATTCACAATTTTTCAACAATCTCTTCAGCTTGGAGCTTGTTACATATGCATACAATCCTCAAACAAATGCAAATGCAAAGACCATGTCTCAAGAAGCAAATTTTGCACGGACAAATAATCAACTTCTACATGGTTAGTTTTTTTATGAAAAACAAGTTTGGAGGCACTGTGTAAGGTTAACTGGTGTCACAAACCAACTTCATGCATCCAAACTCTGTGCTAACTAATAATCACTTCCATGATCTAAATTGCAATGTGTGGGGTAAGCCAGTTCCTAATATCCCAAAGATATGAAAATCTCTTAGTGCTAAAACTGAAAAATGAGAAAAAGAAAACCACCACTAGGAAACGTAGAGGTACGCTAACAAAACTTAGCTCATTAAACATAAAAGAGAGCTAGCAAAATATAGCTCAATACACATAAGGGAGACTTGCATTCATTTCATACCATGGGTGCATTCTTGGAAAGGGGAGTAACTGTGGGAGGAAAACTAACAAACAAAATTATCTTTGAAAATGTAAAAGAGAACAGTGTGCAGGGGGGGATTAGTAAACATACCATGGGTTTTAGAAAAGTTGTCACTTTGAAGAAATCCATCTGCTATGACAAGCCCACTTCAAAAATAAATAAATGAATGAGCAAAAAATAGTAGTGGAAGGTGCTGAAACACAAATCAAAGAAGGCCAAGTGTGACTCAAGTCACCACAATCAAATGTAGAGTAAACACAAAGTTGAAAAGAATTTGAAAACAAACCGTGAGTAAGACGACCAAGATTTGACTACATATTTAGTTTCATATAGAACTCGTCTACGTGGTGAGAGAATCAATTCATATTGTGAATTGTGCGGGTATTGAAATGTTTCTACCACCTTAGCATAAGGCCATAAGTCTAAGATATTAATGGATATATGTTAATCATCTTACAGTTTCCTCAATACACACATCTCGAGTTGTCATGATATTATTCTAATGATCAACTGCAATAAGGATTAGAAAAAACCTACATATTACTAAAACATAGCCACTTTTCTAAATAAAGATCATTATATTATATAATTAATAATTAATTATTAACTTTAATAGACTAAATATGCCTCAACTAACTAATTATAACCCTAATTACATAATTTGTTTTCCCAGGCCATCATCTCCATTCTTCCCCCTACCTTTTTTACCCTCTATGAACCCTACTCCCCAAAAATTACCCCTTCTCACACCAACACGGCATCACCTTCGATCCCCCCCCCCCCTCTATGCGGTCTTAACTTCTACAAACTTGTCTCCCCCAAAAGTTCTCTATTCTCCCACCATCACAATCTTCCCCTTCTCTATCATCTCCACGCTCGAAACCCTTCCCCCTAAAATTCTCCCCTCTCCATTCCACCAAACCCACGCCTCTGTCACCACCTACTGATGACAAATACAACGCTCCCCTTTGTCGCCCTTCTCATGTCTCCTTTTGCCGACCTTCTCATGAATTCTCTCATTTGAGACTATGTTGACCTTCTCATGAGTTCTCTCATTCCGTTGTTTGCAACTTTGCTGCCCTACTCGCAAACATTCACTGAAATGGCCCCTTCTTCAGGGACAAAGGTGATCGTACTACACATTAAAGGTGGTGATGTTTGACGCTGATACAGCGGAGATGGGCAGTGTAGTCAGATGGGTTGGCTAGTGAGTGAATGTTTGTTTAGTTTTAAAGGTGTTTTTACTTGGACTTATTTCAATCCCAGACCAAACCAGACCAGACTTCGACAATTACAAAATATACATAGACCAGACCATATAAGACCAAATTAGACCAGACTAGAAAATTTCAGTCCAATTAAAAACATCCTAAGTCCCCAAAAGACCTTACCTTCCAACACCACCTTGAGTGTGGTATTTTGGGGCGGGTGGCTGAACATTGACCGGACTATTTCCAGCGGTGAAGACAGGATCTATACTCTTTGCACAACCCTATGAGCTGAATAAAATAAATAAATAATTAAATTAAGTCTACGAGCTGATTAATTATAGGGTCTACAGGCTGAATAATTAAATTAGGTCTAGGCTGAATATAAATAGTTAGGCATACGGGTGAAGAAAAATAATGGTTTTCATAAATATAAAATAGGCTCACAGATTGGCTATTTTAAATAAGTAAATGAATAAAGTACTGTAAGTATGTATTGCCCTATTTTTAGGTCTTGTGTATTAAGTGTTTTATATATCGTATAGTTTTTCTTTCTTCATCAATACTAGTGAGCATGATGTGGTGAACCTCATTATTATTTTGAAGTTGAACCTTGAGCTTGCTACCTGCATCTTTGCTTTTGGAGTAAATCATATACTACGTAGTAAAGAGTTAACGAATTGGTTTGTGCTCCCTTTGTCTAGTCTAAATATTGTTAATTAATGCCCGTGAATTAATTACATGTAATATTTCAATATTATTCTTGATTGGGGTTGTGTGCTACAATTTTGCACTGGAGCTACACTCAAATTATTTAATTATTTTCCGCTTTGGATTAATTAATTATATATTTTTATTATCATTGTTGTATGGGATTACTAAGTGTGTATGATGACATGATATACATGATCTTATATCATTCGGTAACGGTAGACTGTGGTTACACCTTAGTGGATTGTACGACGGTTCTTCATTTCACCTGCGGGCTTGGGGCGTGAAAAATTCATCAGAGACACTGGGCCCTCCAGCGGGAGATTCAATTAATCTAAATCCAGAAGATATTTTTAATCTTGGTTACAATGATAAACTAAACATGCCCGAACTAATTGAATACTTGTGTTAGAATTTCCTTCCAAGCAATTTATGACCCTCTTGTTCTTTGAACTCTTCAAAATTCGAAATATGTTAATAAAATCGCACCAGCCGACGGGCAATGACACGAAATGCACGTCGTGGGGGAAAAAACTTCTAAAAGGCATTCGATATTTACATAGAAAATATTCCGTTCCAAAAGTTCTTGAAAACTGATTGCTTGCTTATGTGCCAATCAGAACAAAGACACACTTGGGTGGTGATTATTTCAATGCGGTAGCCTTATGTCTACAAAGACCCCCAAGATCCCTGAATTATAATTCCATTTCTATCTAAATTGCGAATTAAATAGGCTTCTAAATGGGATATCTCTTTAGTTATATCAAGACCTAAGGTTCATAAACATCCTACTTGAAATTTTCAATTGATTTTTTTGAAAAACATTTTTCAAAACCATGAACATAAGAATGATTGTATCGAGAAACTTTTGGTACAACAATAAGTCTGAAGTACATGTCTTTGAATTGGCTTTTGATATGAGTTGGTTGACTCATTCTAAAGAGTTCTTTCAGAAAACGGTTAGCGCCGACAGATATAGAATTACTAGGAACAACACTATGGGACGTTCTTTGAGAGGCACTGAGATAACCAAGCGAGGCATTATGTGACTAGACCAAGAAGGTCTTGGTTGTGGTCATGAGGCATCAACTAAAAGTGATATATGTTTCAGGTCTGAGCATGAGTCCATGTATCTTGGAGATCATGGAGATCTGCAAGGCACTCAACTTATAAAGCTGGAACAGATCATTGGAGACTCTCAACTGACTCTGTTTGACGAGGGTGACATCGAGGACGATGATATGGAAGATGCTCCATAGGAGCACTGGTTCAGCCATTATAAACAGAGACGGCTAGAGAGACAACGGCTGAAAAGAGCTCGAGTGGGAGGCTCAGGTGGAGCTTTTAGAGCAGTGCTAGGGCGCAGCCCAGAGAAGCAATTGATTAAGAGGCGGAAGGTCCACTGACAAGCATCTCCATTTTTTTTTAAAAAGCGGGGGCCAGGTGCAAGAACTTCGATGACATCCGGGACATCTCGGAGCAGCTAAGTGGTGAAAAGGGTAAATGAGGCAGCTGAAGACATGGAGCTGATTCCATAGCTCAAAGTGAGAGCGGCTACTAGATTGCTGGACAGTGACATCTTGGTGGACTGGTCTCAAAGGTAAGTACAATGAGGTGTTTATGTAGGATTAGATGGAGGAAGAGTACTACGAGCTGTTTTACTCTTCATTTAAGGTGAGCCAGATAAGAACAAATATGACGCGCAGAGCAAGGCAAGGAATACACGGTGAAGCAGCTAGGACATCAATTCTGAAGGTTGGCTGATTCTCTCACTATGTACAAGAGGAATGAAGACCCAGCATAATTTAGTCACAATACTTCTTTTAGTCATATGGGAAAAAAAATGTTTTGATTGTCATATTTAGGAGAGCCTCCTATATTTTAGACATGCCTTGGTAAATTTCTCAAAGGATTGCACATATCTATACCACAAGTCTAGGGTAAACAACCTTGTTCACACCCCTAAATTTTACAACAAACAACATACTTAACTCATGCATAATATATAACACAAGGCGTAGTTTATTCGTGAAAGTGTGAAACTAAACAGAAATTCCAGCATAAAATAAGTTGTACAAAAGAATACATGAGTAATTGAAGAATAAAAAATCCAAATTCGGTAATACCAGAGATATATCAAAATCCTTCTTATAATGATAATAATCACAATAAATAAGAATGCTAGTTTACTCACATACCTTAAGATAAAAATTAATGTGTTGGCAATATATGCGACCATTTCCCTAAAACAAAGGAAAGTAGCTAATTAAAGTTCACTCTATAAGCTATGATGTTACTAATATAACTCGCTTCTTTTGAGTTAGTAAAATCACCAGCTACTTGAGGTCTTGAGGTGGTGTGGGGTCAGCACACCCCTACTACTTTATTGATAATAAAAGGCACACATACAAGAGGATGGGATGGCTGGATTGGGGTAATGTTACCTCCTAGTACTGCCTCCGTCCCATAATGTAAGATACTTGTAGGTTTGGAGCGGTTTTTAGGAAAATAAGAAGTAAGAAGAGTCCACAAAAAGTAAAGGGTGAAATGATAGATAAAGGGATAAAGTGGGAAAGTAAAAAGGTAGTGGAGTTCAATTAAAGAAAGTGTTCATATTTTTGGGGAAACCCAAAAAGGAAAGTGTATCTTACAAAATGGGACGGAGGGTGTATATGATATAAGGCTCATCCATGTGGTTGTCTCCTACTTAATGCTTGATAATGTATATGTATCTATTGTAGACTTGTACAATAGGCTCCACCTCCTTTACCAAAATCAAGGTAACTTGATATTCATTTAGATCTTTGATGTTTATTTAGAATTTTTTTTGCACTCCTAAAAGGCAAACACGTGTTCACCACATGACTTATTCTATCTTTTATAATGGTAATCATTTTTGTGCTACGTCTTGAGTGCTTATGAATTTAAGATCGTTAGACACACTATATTTGCTCTTAAAGTCTCACACCAAGAGCTATATCTCAAGTTAGATGGTGGTATACTAGGCAATGAGAACTTGGGATTGGTTGGTATCGTTATTGGTGAGAGACATTACTCATGGGGAATTGGGAAAATCATTCCCCTTGTAGTGATTTTCAAGTGCTCATATTTCAGCTACTTTAGTAGTAATATTGTAGATATACTTCATAGTCACTACTTCACATCATAACGAGAGTTAGGAAATTTACCAAAAATGATGCATACTTTTTTTCCCGTCACCCTTGAAAGCAGTTTTAGCAACAGCAGAGTAGAACCTGTTTTTATGTCATTAGAGTGCTTCGTGAAGTTCCATGGTTAATACAGAATACTACTCCCTCTACTCAAATAATCAAATTTACTTGTCTTGGTTGACCGTTTTTTCTTGATCCTCTTTTTTGTCCTTTTTGAAAACTATGTACATTAAATAATTTTCCTAATTTACCAGTCTTAAGCTATTCAATTTACCCTTTCCCGTAAGAGAATACTAATGGGAGAACGACTTTTAAAGAGCATGTTTTGGTAAAGCATTAAGAGATTGATTATTTTATCACTCCAATACATTTTTCTACTTTGTGATTTGGTCAACCAGAGAAAATTCAAAGGAGTAATCAACATAACTTACATTCCTAACGTCATGACAGTCAATACACCCGAAAAATTGGCCATTTCTTGTGCCTGTTACAAAGAGCTGTATTAGTTCTGATTTTGCAAATAAAAGAGAGCAGCTTGCATATTCCTGGGGAAAAAGACACCGGGCGCGTTTGTTTTTCGGCGGTTCCACGCCAATCCGCTGGTAATAGCAGTGTTTCTAAGTTATAAAAAACAGCAGTTTGATGCCAACCGCCAATATCCAAACAGGCTCACCATCTTAAAACTACTCACAATTATAAGCTATGAAGCACAGAAACTATCTCGGAAGAATATGTTTCCATTTCGGACTCTTGACAAACATTCAAACACTTGTTATTTTTATTAAATGGTGACATTTCACGCTTCATGTTTCCGTGCAACATAGGTTATAAGTGAAACAGTTTGCTTCACATACACAATAAATAATAAATTATCACAGTATATTTTACCATCAAATAAGGATCCTCTGTGAATTTACTATAATATAGTTGTATATGATTACAAGTACTATCCTGGAATACTGTTAGAGTAGTGTTAGCCGTTTAGGGATAAGATAGCTTGGTTGTTATTCTGTTCCTATTATTCAGGATCTGTAACCTCATGTACATGTATATTTATATGCCTTCTCTGGCTCTTCAATGAATAAGCTATTTCTATTATTCAAACCTACAATCTCCATAGTATCTATTCAGATGAAATTATTAGAAATGCGAACTTGTTCAGAATATCCCAAAATGAATTACATAACTTACTCCCTCCATCCAGGACAAAAAAAGGTTCACACTTTTTGTCCGAAAAAGAAGAGCCTTATTTGATCAACGGCGCTATATTTTGTCCTTTTCATGTAATTTGCCAGAAAAACGCCGACGAACACATTTAGAATATAAAAAATTTGAAAAATACAAAGCATGATGAACATTTAAAGCAATTGTATCTTCTAAAAATTAAATTGTATACATTGGTCAACCAAGACTCCATTTTTGGAAGTGAATAGTAAAGTCACTAAAGTGTAATTCAGTGATGCATAGATCAAAGAATAATATACATAGAATTTATCATATATTTCCCATCAAATGATAAACACAGAGATGGTTCACAGTGTTCCCATGATTGGAAGAGAAACATACGGTGAAATAAGCTACATAGCTCACAGCAAGTGTGAGTGTGATCTCTATCACTGTATCATTGAAAATATATCCCAGCCAAAAAACAGATGACAGTCCTAAAGCAAGACCAATGGCCACTCTGAACAGAAGAATAGACATTATGAGGCAAGAGCATGTCTAGCTATACATAACTAAATCCAGAAATACATACGCCCCAATGGTGACTTGCAGCAAAAACTTGAATATTGATCCCCAGTTAAAGCTCCATCCAAGAACCATGCGCAAAAACAGTTGATATACAACGATTGCCGTCCTAAAGAGAGAAATGAATTGCCAATGAAAAAAGGTTGTAGGAAAGGGAATGGGTGAAGTATGTTATACAGAACAAATCACTCCAATGTGTTTTAATGGCAAACCACTGGATAACAACAAATAAAAAATTGGATGTTTCCTGAATAGGTTTTTCCACTAAACCCACAATGCAGCGTGAGGAATTAATTACCCATCATTCATCAAGGATTCTCCTTCAATTATGGTGCTCAATTTCTTGCTTGCCCCAAGTTCTTTTAGCAAAGCGACAACAGCCACGGGATCAGTAGCACTCAGCAATCCCCCAAGCAATAAAGATGTTTTCCAGCTCCAGTTATATGGGAAAGCAAGCTTCAATTTGTAAGCGTGTTAGATGCTCATTCAATAATTGATTTGTATGATCAGAAAAACGATACTATGCAGACCTTTAACACGGATCCAAGAACAAAAGTTGAAATGAGCACTCCAGGCCCAGCAAGTAGAATAATTTGGACCATGCACCTCTGCATTAAAGTTAGAAATACACTAAATAAAGCTTGGGCAAATACTTATAAATCGCCTAGCTTTCAACTACAAAACCCCAAATGAAATTGCACCCTTAAAATGTCACATTTAGCCTCTAAACTTTTAAATGACCCTGAACTTTCAAAAAAAGTGCTAACCGACTATAGAAATGCCATATATGCAAATGCATCAAACACAAATGTGATCAGATATGTGATGAAATTAGTAAACAGTGTTATTAAAGCAAGCGTTACTTGGTGGGTGCTGCACTAAAATTTTGAGGGGCAAGGCAGTTATTAGAACTGGTTCACTTAAGGACTGTAAAGTGATTCGCTAGAGAAATAACAGAGACAACTGGGAAGCAATGATTATGGCCAGAAGGATACATACGAGGGTTCATGATCAAGGTACCCATATCAGCCATGATGACAGCGAAACTACTAATGCTCATCAACAGCACTTAGTTACACCTTTCTTCCCAAGTTGGTTCAAGGTTTTATTATTATTGCCTAAAAGGAAAGGAATATAGGCTATATGTGAATGACTTTGTTATTCTTTTGGATGCTTTGGTAGGACGCCCTCATATTTTTTTGTTGTGGTATATATGTCTTACTTTCGAAAATGAAAGATGTCTAAAGGTCAAGCATTCTATGCACTTGTCTCCACAATGAAAATCAAACGTTGTCACCTCTTCTTCAATGTGAGGAAAAATTTCTCTGTTGCATTATAGGTTTTTTTATTACTCCAAGGGGGTCTGGGGGAGGGGTCTAGGGGGCCTGGAGTAATCAGGGTAGAAACTCACTCCATTGAGTTTCGAACCCTTATGTGCCTAGCAGGTTTCGAACTCGAGACCTCTCACCAGGCACGGTAACCTCACAACCAGATGGGCTGGAATGCTTGGTTTTATAGGTAAGAGGCACAGTCTAGGAGAATGCAACCTTAACGTAATGAATATGACTATGGGCAAGATAAGTTCTGAAAATGAAATAATGATCACACAAACTATAAAGGAAAGCGCTGTTTTTTATGCTTGCCAGAAGTCTTCACCGGAAACAGCCTCTCCACCTCCAGGGATAGAGGTGAGATCTGCATATATCTCACCCTCCCTACAACCCTACTTCCAAGTGGGATATACTAAGTTTGTTTGGTTTGGTTGATACTTGATAAAAGAAATAAATACTATGACTTCATACTGGTGACAAAGAATACATAAAAATAAATACATGTGTGTACTGTGTAGAGTCTAAAAAAGGAACCACAATAAAATCAAACCTTACGAACTTGCTTATCCAATCCATATAACAAGACTATTTGCCATACATAAAAATCTCCATCAAGTTGGACCATGGATATTGATTCTGGCCAACTTGTTACACAAATAATCAACCCATGTAATGTTCATTGCTTTGATAATGCGGTCCCTAAATTATTCACAGGCCTCCCTATGTCCTATGTCCCTAATGGGCACGTCATCAATATCTTTCACAACAAATACTCATTTACATCCTTTAGGCTCTTCTGCTACTGGTTATGTTGACCAATTACGTATCTGATATTCGTACTAAGTATATCAACAGGTACACGATATGAAACATTGTCAAAGATAAATTGTGTAAATGTATTTTGCAATTTTATAGAATTACAGTACAGCTAGTAGTCCACTACATCTTCCATTGTGCTGTTTCAATAAATTTGTTACAAGGACAACTAATGTTGAAAGAGCCAAGCATATGGACAGAGAAAGGCTCAAAGAAAAGTACAGGACTACAGGGAATGCCAAAAATTATCCCTCAAAAAATAAAGAAGGTGGCTCATATACAACCACTTAATCCGTAGTACCAACTTAATTCATTGCGAACTTCTAACTACCAACTTAATTCATTGTGAACTTCTAACTATTACTAGTTTGACTGTCTGAGAGCCCATGCTCAGCAGGTGTCTAATTATGTCCAGATGGATAGCCGACTTCTGCCCAACATGCTTCTACTGTTAATGTTTCAAACTTGCCATGAAAAGTTATACAATTGAAAAATTAAGGGATAAGGGTCAGATAGGGCCTCGAACTCGAAAAAAAATGTCAAATAAGGTCATATTTCGGATGCTCTGTCTGGCCGACGCCATTTGGGGCGGTTCCCGATGGAATTTTTTGATGAAATTTTTTGAGCATCTTCCTCATTAAGTCTAGTTTACCCATACCAAATTTTAGCTAAAAATTCAACCGGGAAGGTAGTCAAATAATTTTCCGAAATGTACGGCGTTGTTTAACTTCACAGTTATCTTCAAAAATTCATTTGACTACCTTCCCGGTTGAGTTTTTAGCTGAAATTTGGTATGGGTAAACTAGACTTAATGAGGAAGATGCTCAAAAAATTTCATCAAAAAATTCCATCGGGAACCGCCCCAAATGGCGTCGGCCAGACAGAGCATCCGAAATATGACCTTATTTGACATTTTTTTTCGAGTTCGAGGCCCTATCTGACCCTTATCCCAAAAATTAAATATTTTCAACTATTCAAGAATTACTAAGAATGGTCCTGTGGTTGACTATGGTTCATTAGGCAAGGAGTTGAAAACCAGTCGAAAAAGAAGCTGAACCATATAATCACTACATAGTTTATTGTGCGTGTCGTTTACCTAAACTTTCTTAGACGTTTTGCATTTCTAAAGCTTGCTTTGCAATTGTCCATATAAACAAATGACACGCATAGGCTTGATGGATACCTCTCAGCAGCAGAACAAACACAATAACAATAACAAGATAGAATCACACAAAGCAAGAACTCAAGCTCAGTAAAGGAAATCTTATTCAACAAGAAAACTGTAAACAGTCCCAAAGAAGGAGATAGAACTCCAACTTCCCAATCCCAGACAAAACGTCAATACAGCCTGCCTTCTATTCTACCCTCCACCACTATTTATACTAACTCTCTAATATTATTCTTATTCTCATTTATTAGTATTATAAGTAGGTCCCTAACAAGGCTCTACTTTGTTGCAGATGAAATGTTGAATGCCATCGAAGACGTACTTATGATTAAAACCAAGGGCTAATGAATTGAGTCTCCCTAGTCTCTGACAAATTCAAAGAAAAAATCTACCTGGTGATTCAAAAGTGCATGCCTCAAGCTTTTGCATGATGTTTCCACCAAAGCCCGAAAGTGACTTGGGTTTTAAAAAAACTATTGAATGACACCACAAAGAATGAGTTTCTAGTACCTTTATCTGATGCACTTCCATTGAGAATGAACTCTCGAAGAGAAGTGCAGGAAGAAAAACAGCCAATAAAAGGTCAGGATCAATATTTGCCCCTGTGGACCAACAATTGTTAATAACAATGGGAAACTGCAACATGGGCAGAGAATAGATTGCGCCATAAGAAAATTGGCTTCAACTAGAGCAGCAATAAGTTGCACTTACAGATACGAATCCCATTTCCAATCTTTCCAAGCTGATTATGCTTTCCATAATCTATGCCATGGTAGAAACCAGTGAGTACAGAATTTAAGTAGAAGAATATAGTTAAGAGCAATACAACCAAATCTTTTAGAAGTATACTTTCATACACGTGTGTGATCTAAGCCAAAATTATGTCCACAAACCAAGTGCATTTCCACTCAAGGTTAGAAATACAGAGCCCAAAATGATCTAATTCATGAAAACCCAATTTAGATTCCAACTTTCCCCTGATCTTGCTTCAGCACATCAACTGAAAACTACACACGTAAAGTATAGTTGTGAACTCTGAAGCCCATAACTGAGTGGCAGAAGCAATTTTAAGGTGATCCATTTCATAGACTTCAAAATTGTTACCAGTTCATGACAAGCATAAAGCGTATAAAACTAAACACCAAAAATAGGGATGCAATTCAGATGCTTGCTTTCTTCTTCTAGGAATCATTATTTATGCAGCGCCTCCGATTCACATTTTACTTCTCATAAAAATCATATATTTCTAGTTCATTACATTAAGAATTGGAATTCCATTAAGCTGAGAGGAGCAAAAGAATCTTGAAATTCCTGTGTTTTAAGATGTGCTTTAAGATTTGGAGTTCCATTCTTGAAGGAGCAAATCAATCTTGAAACGTGCATGCCTTTTTAGTCTTAGTTAGAGGATCGATTACTGGTTTGAATTGGCACTGAAAACATGTTAAGGCTGGCATCATTTACGCTTCTATTTTATACTCGTATTTGATTAGTATCTTTATATTTGGCCATTTAGCACACTAAAACCGTAAAACTACAGAGCAAAGTCGTTTATGTAACATTGAGAAAAGCAACTAACCCAAGGCTCCGAGACCAATGCCAACGACTAGCAAAGCAACCGTGTAAGGCACTCTGGAACCCCTCAGCAGATGCCTGCAAGCTATCCCTAACACCAAGCTGATACCCACGAAGATGACTGCATCAGTCGGGTTGGAATCGGAACCCGAGTTTGGCTCTTCCAGCACTTTAAATGGCAACGTCACCATCACCAACATGGAGTGCATGCTGGACACCTCCTACTCGTCTGCAACAGCTTAAACACGTTGAATTAACTGGAACTGGTGGACAAGGCTGACAAAATAAGAATAAGCAGCAAAATAAACTTCTGACACTCAAAGATGCTGCCCGTCCGTTAGGGTGGGGTTAGAGTCAGCCAACGTGGGTTGGGATTTTGAAAAAAAAAAACAAGATTGAAAGTGATTTTGGGTTGGGATTTTGGGTTTGCACATACATAACTGAACCTAAGATTGAAAGTGAAAATTGAAGGAAAAACCAAGAACATGGACACACAATATTAAAAAGTTTTGCTTTTAGCTGCTACATGGTGAAAAAAACTTCAAGAACATGGTCGGTCATGAATGGACAACAAAAAGTTAGGATTGAAAGCTCTATGAATCAGGATGTTAATATTTCAGCTAGAAATTACGGATAGGATCATACCTTGTCGGCTAACAGCTGAGGGCTGAGAAAGACCGATACAGGGGTGAAGATCAGAGACAGGAGAGGAGGAATGCTTGGACGAGTAGTGTGACTGAGAGCTGTAAACTGATAGTGAATGTGTCGCAGAATTGATGGCCACCAGACAAACTGCTTGACTTTCAGTGAACATGCATTTAAGCGGATCTATATAAGATAAGGGTCCCACAAGAAATGCCAAACATACGGCTGTTGAAAGAGATACCCGCCATTTGCAAATGCCCTTTCAAGATCAAATTTGGATCTAATCGTCTCAGTATATTCAATGTTAATAGAATGTGCTTCTTTCCGGTTCTTAATTAAGTTCCTAGTTTGATTTCACACATATTAATAAATTAATTTATTTTACTATGGAGTGCACTGTTTGAACACTGTTTTGACACTGTTTAAACATTGTTTGGCACTGTTTGACGCTGTTTGACACTGTTTAAACACTGTTTGACACTGTTTGACATTGGTTAACACTATTTTGGTGTAAATTATTTGTCAAATAAGGAAAGGGTTGAAGTAGGAACTTTAATATGGATCATACCAAAAATTAAAGTAGGAACTTAATTAGTAATTACAGGACGGAGGGAGTATATGGTTCAAACTTCAAAGTATACTTGAGTAACTTGACTACTTGTTTTTTTTTTGACAACTTGACTACTTTCATTATAAACTAGTATTGTACCCGTGCGATGCACGGGAAACATGTTATTATTTTAGGGATTATAAACATTAGTTTTTAGGAAATTTAGTTAAAGGAAAAAATAAATATTTAGCGGGAAGGTGCACAATTAAAGCATAAGAAACAAATGTTTACAAATTTTGAAAAAACACCTTGATATTCATATTTGTTGTTACATTAGTTAATCAATCATTTTTATCACATAGATAGTATGAGATTAAAGAAAGTTTCCGCACAAACAAATCAACAATAGAAAAAGATTGCCCTTTATTTTTGTTTATCACTATTGTGTACAAAATCATTAGAAATTGTCATCTTTGAAATTTGAAAGGCAATCTAACATATCATAGAGTCAAATTCCCTTTTTACTATCAATACATTTTCACAAGTGCTTATTCATGTAATAATCTTTGCTTCTTTTCTCTTATATCGTAAAAACCGGACCGGAGAGCGACCCGGAGCGATGATCGGGTCAAGGGTCAACCCGGACCCGGCGGGTCAGCCCGGTCAACGACCGGAAAACCCGGTCAACACATATATATAATACTCCGTATAGATAATATCAATTACAAAATCTTTAAAATATAAAAAAAATAGGAAAATTTGACACTAATAATCCAACCTTTATCCGGTCTTCCCAAAACGATCCTAATTATTAATTAATAATCCAAAAACAAACCAACCTTTATATCATTTCTTCCGTCAACAGTCCCGGTATATTTTTTACCGGTTGTTAAGTTTTTATTAAAAAATAATACCGGTTAAGATTTTAAATACCCTTTGACGCCATCTTCCAACTTCTCCTTCGCACTTCCTCGTATTTGCGGCAACATATCTAACTTCTTCTTCCTCATTTCAAATTCCCTTTTCACGCTATCGATCGATGTCTGCCCAAGACATCCATTCAGACGGTCATTGGTCTTGCTCAACGAAATCAAGCAAAGGAGTAAATCCAAGAGCGAAGTGTCATCACAATATCAATTCCGTTTTGAGGGTTGTTAAAAATGGGATTAACGCTGGGAGGAAGTTTCTTGGCTGCTCGTTATGACCGGTAAATGTGTTAATTTTTTATATTCTGTTATTAGAAACATGGTAGAGGAGCTAGGGTTCATACAATTTAATAGCCAGTCAAGAATAGCGGGATAGAGAAAGCCATAGCTATCATCTTATTATTTGATTGATGTTACGAAGTGTGTTTTGTCAAGATCAAATCTTGGGCTGGAAGTTTTATTTGAGGATTTTGTATGTGTGTCAGGATGAAGGTTGCAATTTCCTCAAGTGAGAAGATGAAATTGAGGCAAAACCATCTGTTGAATTAGATGAAGAGGTCAATAAAGTTCTGAATCCACAAATCCAAATTGAGCTAGAATTTCAGAATAGGTTGCTGGAAGAAAAGTTGAAGAAGTTGCAAGTTAAAAATAAAAATTTGAAAGAAGAAGTCGAACTGAAGAAAATTGAAGCTGAAGAAATGTGGATTGAATATTCAAGTGTTTAGGGAATGAGAAAAAATATTGCATTTGTCTAATGTTGTCATGTCTTTTTTCTGGTTGTATATTTGTTCTTCAAATGAATATTGTTGTAGTTGGTTTAGTACTCTGTAGTATGTATAGTATGTTGATCTAGACTTACCAATATGTGTTTGAGTATTGGTGGAGTTATGAATGTATTTTTTTTATATTGGTTAATATATTGGTCTTCTCAAATTTGAAGTGCATACTGGTGCATATAGTTTATGCTCTATTAGGTTCCCTCCCAGAATAAATTTTGATAAAAAAAAGGAAAAATTGAAAATAATAATCCCAACTATTGCCAGTCCGCTGAAAATAATCCCAACTATTGATTATTTTTGTATAATCCCAACTATATAGACTATCCGCCAATAATGGTCCATGACCATATATTACCTCTATAAAAAGTGAATTTTAAATAGAAATTAAGCGTAAAAATTAAAAGTTGAGATTATTTATAGGGATTACTTGTTATATCTCATCTCATCCACTTTAGAAACTACAAGAATTTATTCATAGGGACCATTATTGGCGGCAGGTCCCTAAAGTTGGGATTATTCTGTAATAATCAATAGTTGGGATTATTATGAGCGGACCGCCAATAGTTGGGATTATTACTATCAATTTTTCCAAAAAAAAAATGTTTAAAACAGTGAGGGAAGATAGAAATTTGAGGTGTTTGGTTCCAGTAAAGTCTTTGTTGTTTTGCTCATATACATTTCATGGCCTTCTTTGATGCTGTTTTAGATTTTAGATGTCCCAGATACGGAGTAATGACATATTTGGCATTTGTATTTACACAAGGAATTGTTGCATTAAACCATTTAAGGTTTGTCCCATTAGATGAAGTTGTGTGATGGTTTGTTTTTCGTTCAGCTTATCAGCAGATTCAACAAAAATATGGTGTGCCACTACTTTTGATCCTTTACTTTCCAACGTAAAGCTGATTGCATATTTTTGGGACTTTTATACTGCTATAAAGTGAAAAAAGTTGTTGGTGCATATTACTTGCATATTGTTGCCATAAAGTGGGACTTTTATACCATCAAGTGAACTGATATACTACTGCTATAAATTATTCAAATGTTATTGGATCACATAATTCTGTTGGTCTTTCATTTTATTAGTATTAAATACAAATATGATCATGATGTAGACTAAGCCATCCATAGCCTTCATATTCAAACACGCATCCCAACAGACCCTATTGGATTTAGCCTTCATATTCAAACACACATCCCAACAGACCCTATTGGATTTTGTATGACCACCTCTTGGTAAAATATTAGTTTATACCCTTCTGGACACAGAGATATTCAAATTCATAAAGCTGTTTACTTCTGAAAATTACTAAGGAATTAGAGTGATAGAGAACACTTAGAAGTGGAATCCCTACTCATCTGGGCTGAAGATCAACTGTATCAGGCCAAAAATTGGAATTCTTAATCATAGACACTCTCAAGAAATCCACATTTATACCAAACTCCCATCCAGATTCCCTGCCTTTGAGTGCTGGAAATGAAACCGGCATAGCTCTAGTTGCCATTCTATCACAAATGGCAATTTCTCGCATTTACTATTAGCACAAGGGTAAATATCCCAAGTATGCATGTGCTCTTACTTTTGAGGTAGGGATTGATTCTCCAAACCTAGTATACTGGTGCATATTACTAGTATAGAGCTTGCTGGTGCATATTACTTGTATACATGGTGCCGTGTTAATATATCATTTATGATTATTAAAGACTTAAATAAAGAGAACACCGTGTTAAATTTATGATTGATCAGACACGAATAAAACAACTATTCATTATTCAATTCACCATATATTATACGGAAGAATTTCTTTTAACCCCCCCAAACCGCCTAGCCCCACCCACCTAGCAGACTAGCAGCCAATCCAACCTGGGAAAAAAAAAATTGGACCCGGACAGGCCGGGCCGGTGCATCATTTAGCAAGCCCGTAGCGTGGCACATCAAAGCCCCGGTTCGGGCCCCAGTCCCCTGATCACGGTCCCGGTCGACCGGGTCAAGGCGGTACAACACAGTAACGGGTTGGGCCGAACCAGCTTAGTCCACCCCTATACATACATACTTTGGCCATACAGTTACCCAGGGGCCAAATTTAAAATTCCTTCTAGTTGGGACAGCCCAATGTAGTAGCCCAAATTCTGGAATGCCAACTTGCCAACAATCGTATTCATTTACCAAATGGTATGCTGTTGCGATGGATTACCATTGATCACCACACTTTTATCACCTAACTCATGGTGCAAGTATGCAACCGGTGATCAGTCAATCGTATTCCACGGCTCTCATTGATTCCAAACAATCTGGGCAATTGAATTCAAAGATACAAATATGGAATATGGGTTTTTACTTGAATTCCATGTGTCTTGGTTTATTTAAGGTGTGGGTTTAGTAGTTCCCTTCATTTTAATTTTGTATAGAAGGGCTGATTCATGAGAATGGCGACTTCTTTTGCTGCTCCTCATTCAAAGAAAGGCCTTGAGGAAGAGTTCATGGATTACGGTGTCAAGTGTCAATGTTTTCCCACTCTCTTTGTCTATTGATCAACTTCTCAATCCTTGATGTAAGGCTTTAATTTTCAGTTTCATATATTCTACACTGACTGTCATCAGCTTGAATTTGATATCCTTTGAAATCCAACCAATCAATGTTCGTCGTCTAGATGGGTACTTGAAATTTCGAAATTGTTTTACACTATTAAGCTATGTAACTTGGTTTATTTCTTATATGATTACTGTTTGTAATTTTTTTTTTGTTGAGACTGTATTTACTTATAGTATTAAATAAAGCTTTGAGGTAAGAGAAAATCTATTGTCATCTCCTGTAATTAATTTGAAATATTTTTTCAACTGTGCCCGTACTTTGTTCACACTTAGCGCGCTATAGCTTGGGCAAGTATAAGTCTGGACTTATATTGTTCAGAATGTTCACAGAGTTGTTTTTATATTCTTTTATTTGATTAGGTTTTTCTACTATGTTCCCGAAGTCCTTTGTGGTTAATGGTATTATCCATGTT